TTAACAGCTATTCAAGAAATAATGTCAACAAGATAAATTGTGAATAACCTTTAAACAAAAATAACTTCAACCTTAACTTACCAAGGATCCAGTTTGGAGAAAGAATAATTGATTAGTTTTAACAATACACTGAATAAGAAAAATCGATTTGATCACGTACAAAATTAATAATACTGTCCTTCCCAAATCGTATAACAAACTCATAAAGCATGAACAAAGAACTTTATAATTAAGTTGAAATATATATTCAAACACGATCTCTTTATTCCTGCTAATTGATTTTATCTAAAACCATGTTACATACTTCCCATCTACTGCTTTAGTGACTGAATTTACCAGTTCTCACTTGGCTATTAAACACAGTGCAGTAAATATGGATTTTCCAGTACAGGATTGGAACCAAAATCTCACTCCTATCATGCTGGTCGACTAGAATACTTAAGTGATTAATGAATATGGCACACTGAATCCTCACTGTGCAGGAGATACAGGTGGGAGGCCAATGGAATTGCAATGCCTTCCTTGCCTTAATATGTCAATCAAGAAGTTTTGTAATGGGACATGGAACTAATTTGCAGCTGTCAGTCATCTATCCCAAAATATCCTCTGAACAATCTACAATCTACATTTCAGGTTGAAGAACGTCCATAAGATTTCATGAGCCAGTTGCACTGAAACCCAAAACGTTAAACTCAGTTTCCCTCCACAGATGCTAAGCAACAAACTTTTCAGCTAGTGGCAGCTATGATCTTTTCTCCTTCAAAATAATATCGGTTGAGGGATAAATGTCATTCAGAATGCAGTAGAACTACCCTGATCATCCTCTGATAATACTAAGATCTGTTACGTCCATCTGAAAGGGCTGGCGAGGCCCAGATGCATTGCCTCTTCTGAAAGACAACATTGCAACACTCCCTCAAAACTGCATTGGGAACGTCAGCAAATGATGAGCTCTAGTCTCAGAAAGAATCTAGAACCCACAACCTTCTGATTCAGAGGCAAGCGTACAACCACTGAGCCAGAACTGACAACGCACTGCTGAATATTTGAAACAAAGATTAATTTACTATCCTTTCAGATAACTAGGTACATTGTTTTCCTGCAGATAGCCTCGTACAATATAGCATGTTAAGAATTTGTTTTTTTTGAAGTACTTTCTATAAGATGTGCAAATAAACCTCGCAATTTACAAGGGAATAACGGTCAGTGCAATTTGATTTCGAAAAATGAGAAACAAAAGCGTGGATAGAGATGATTTGTGAGGCTGTGTTCAGAAAGCTTGTGCTACAGAAGCTAATTCAAACGAAGCCACAATACTTTGCATTTATCTGAAGTCACATGAATGAAGTCACAAGTGATTGTCCATGTCTGAACATTATGATTAAAGACACATTGTTATTCTTTCAAATTTAAAGTAATCATTGTATCCCATTAGTCACCCCTCATAATATTTCCTGTGGTTTAATGCTTATTCTATTGATCCCAATGGGATGATTTCCTACAGTAAGGACTCTACATAAAAACAAGCTGTTGCACTTATTTTCCAGAGCAAGATTACTCATGCTGTTACAGATGTATCAAACAAATAGTCACTTGAATATTTAAGTGTTGTGACTCACGTTCCACATCACGGCATTATTTACTGCTTTTTCCTGTGCGTAAAGACATATGAGGAAAGACTGGAGCAACTGGACTTGTATTCGCTGAGAATATGGGGGGGATTTCATAGAAACATATAAAATCCTGATGGGACGGGACAGGCTAGACGCAGGAAGAATGGTATCAATGTTGGGAAAGTCCAGAACAAGGGGTCACAGTCGAAGAATTAGGGTTACGCCATTCAGGATTGAGGTGAAGAAGAATTTCTTTTTGCGAACCTGTGGAATCCTCTCCCGCAGGAAGCTACTGGGGCCAGTTCATTAGAAAATATTCAAGAGGGAGCTGGACGTGGCCCTTACAGCTAAAGGGATCATGGGGTATGGGGAGAGGGCATGAATGGGATACTGAGATTGCATGACCAACTGTTGAATGGTGGTGCAGCCTTTAAAGGGCTAAATGGCCTACTCCTGCATGTATTTTCTATAATGACCAATTAGTGTCAGGAGTGTGTGTGTGTGTGTGTGTGTGTGTGTGTGTGTGTGTGTGTGT